TGGAAAGCAAGCAAACACAAAGATCTCAAGAGAGTTTTTATTAGCTGTGAAGAAAGCTGTTACAAGAGTTTTTTGCTAATGAATTCCGATCCCCTTTTTGGGTGATAATGAGGGACTATATATAGTATTTCTAAGTAAATGGGCCAGCTAATAAAATAGACATGGCCCATTAAACAATATATCTAATTTAGGCCCATTATTCAATTAAGCCCATTTTGCTTATGGATTTAATATCATTTTGGACCTAGATTCAGACTGGGNCTTNGTAGACTTGCTTTGATTTCGTCAAGACNTTGTGGAGTTGATCTCATCGCCATATCGATCTCATAGGGGTGAAATCCGACCCCCACATGTAAGAAAAAGTTTTTCATCTCTAACCATAACACCAAATTTTACACTAAAAAAAATATTTTCTTTATTTTTTTAAATTTGAAAAATACTAATTATACTAATTATAGTATTTGAAAACAATTTATGAAATCGACCATCTTTAAAATTATCTTGTTGTTTTTAGTTTTTTTTGTTTTATTTTATTTTATAATCTTTATTTTCAGTGTTTTAATTAAACTTTTAATATGTATTTTTAATTTAAATAAATTTACGTATTAATCTAGATATTTAATGAAATTATAATTACAGTTATAAATATTATTATATAACGAAAAGAGAAACAACAAATAAAATTATAAATACAAAATTATTATTGATATATATATTTTTAGTTTGTAATCTATGATTTAATTATTTTACTAACTTAAAAATATAATTAAAATAATATATTTTTTTAGTATGGTATGATACTGTTCACAAAATACTAAAAAAAAAAATTTGCCGTTGATTATGCCGTCCGGTGGAAGATATTATTACACCAAATTTGGTGGGATGCACTCCGGTTGGACTTAATTTGCTAGAATTATGTATTTTTGTTTCGGTCACAAGAAAATAGATGATACCACTTATTGTAACACTCGTGGTCATATGTGTCTTTTTTCTTCCTCATTCCATTTGTGAACGTAGAAACTAAAGACAAAGATATTTAGCAAAAAAACAAAAAAAAAACTAAAGACAACGATGTGGTATTGGTGCCTGATATATTCTTTTTTTTATAAACGAAATAATAAATTAAGTGCATGAGAATGGGTCGGTAAATAAAGATATCACAATCCCACCAAGTCCGAAAGTGCTACATATCCACTAATTAGCAAATCATACACAAATTTTAAAAGAAAGAAAAGAAAACACACGAGACCAAATTTTATCACTTTTATTTATTGCATCGTTGCGTATATGATGCAATATTCATTACAACAATAAATTTAATGGAATGTGACAATATAGCTCAATAGAATGTGTAATATATATATATATTTTTTTTTAAATGGCAATATAGCTTTACTTTTTTGTGAACTTATTTAATCGAACTTTGTTCATGCCTTTAA